CTGCACAATCTGATTTCCACTCCAGACATTTGATATTATTCCCCCACACAAAATCTGCTTTCCAGTTATACTGGACTACTAGGCATTCCTTGAATTTGCCACTCCAGTTTATGAATTCTCACACACTATCCTCCATGCCAGAAATTAATTCCATTCTCATCTCTACTTCTTGGAATCCTTGTCTTCCATTAAGGCTCAAGTTGGTTGCTGCCTCTTTGATTTTTTCCCAGTTGTTAGAATTCTCTTCCTTTCTAATTCTATTTGTACTGTACTATACATGTTGTATCTCTTCAGCAGAATGGAAGCTTCTTGAAATCAGGACACTATTTTATTTCTGTCTTTGTATTCTTAGTACCAATACAGTTGTTTGTTGAATTGAATTTGTCCACATCTGTCTTTCTGAGGGCAGCTAGGTAGCGCAGTGGATAGAGCTCTGGCCCTGGAGTCAGGAGGCCCTGAGTTCAAATTGGGCTTCAGACAAGCCACTTAACCCTATTTGCCTTTGTTTCCTCATCTGTAAAATGAGCTGGAGAAGGGAATGGCAAACTACAAAGTATCTTTGTCAGGAAAACCCCAAATGGGATCATGAAGAATCAGACATGACTGAAAAAAATGACTGAACAACAAGAAGTGTCTTTCTGAGGGACCAATGGAAATGGTTTTGGGGCTTGGATTTGGAAGCCCCAAAACTGAATTTAGTGGTTGCCCTTACTACTTCCAAGCCATGAGACCTTAAGCAACTTTCTTCACTTCTCAGAGCCTCAATTTTTTCACTTGTAAAATGGGGATAATACAGCATGCACTACCTACCCTCACCAGTTATTGTGAAGAAAGCATTTCATAAACATAGATTGCTATTATTCCCGGAAAGCCCTGTTCTTCAGTGCCTATGATTGTTCAATATAGTCCAAATGTCTGTCAAATCAGTGACATAGTGAGCTACTAAGGTGGAAGAAATGCATATCTGAATAAATTTGTTCTATCTCACAAATTAAGTTTTTCAGATACAGACTCAAAACTTCCTTAAAATGCTATTGTAAAGGAGAACTCAACAAACACTTTGTAAGGGACCACAAATTCAGTATTGAGAGTCCCTTTCAAATTTACAAAAGAGGGGAAGCCAACTAAAGGGATCACATGATGATCTAAGTGTAATAAGTGTAAAATCATAAAAAGCTGGTAGAATATTTGTGCTGCAGGAGACCTCAGAGATGATCAATTCTAGCCCTTCATTTTGCAGATAAAGAAACTGAGTACAAAAGAAGTAAAATGATTTGACCAACATCATAAAGCAAGCAAAGCTGGCTCTAGAACCCAGACCTTCTGACTCCTAAACCAATGTATATTCCAGCCTACATTCTTGACTTCCTTCAAAACTCTGGGGTAGTCACCAAGGGTCCTAGTGATTCATCTTGTTGAATAGATCATACTGTGGTGTTTTTTTAATTATTGTTTGATCCAGCACCTCTGATTTCTGATCTCTCTGATAAAAAACTATTCAAGGAGTGGGAATTATCCTAATAACCTCTTCATAAAGTACAGATTCTTAATCTCCCTTTTCTTAAAAAGTTTCCTTGAATGTCCTTTGTATTTGAGAGATTGGAGGTGCTTGAATCAAAGAGTGGTAAGAAGCAAATGATCTAGTCAATTACAAACTAGATACAGATAAAAAAAATCACCAGGACTCACGGCAGCAACCTCTGAGTTCTGAAGGGAGTTACACTGGAGTCCTCGACTGAGATCTGTGTGACCTATTGTTACAAACGGCCATTGCAACAAAAGACTGGAAAATTGCCAATATGACCTATTCTTAAGAAGAGTTCCAGAAGAGCCCCTGAAACCAATGGACTTTGTCAGCAGGTCTAGACCTCTATGGGCCATGTTTGACCACAAGATTCCAAACCAGCTGCTGTTTGGTGAGCTGAATTGAAGCAATTACATGCATGGTATAAAAAGAAAAAGGAGAAGAAAAAAAGAAAGTCCTAAAGAACACAATGGTGTGCAGCTGCTAACTCTGTGACACAGCTGTGATCCTCACAGAAGATGGAAGCAAACCGATGAGCCTGGAATACATCAATTGGAAATGGAAATGCTCATCTCCATTCATTCTACATTCATTCATCCTTTCACTCCATAAATATTGCCTTGAACAGACATCCTTCCGACCATGTTGATTTTTTTCTCTCTCCCACAACTTGTTAATCTTAGAAAACACTAACTCCTGTCTCAAATCAAGGGAGAATAAATTTCTTAATTGGGCCTTGAAGAAATAAGGGCCAGAAGACACGACATTTTTTAGCCATACCTTCTCACAAGGATAATGAGCATCATGAGTGACATGACCTCAGAACTCAAAGGATAGGAATGTGTTCAGGTACATGTGCAGAATGTATTAGCTCATTTGCAAACTGACAGAAGGAGCTTGCCTAGGTACAAAGGAAAGCTTGATTTGAGGCTTACAATCAAGTTAATTTTATAACCCCACTTTTATTCAGCTTTTTAAAGTGACAAATGAAATTTTGGGGGTAAATAGTATTTTATTTTTTCCAGTTACATGTAAAGATAGTCTCCAACATTAATTTTTATAAGATTTTGAGTTTCAAATTTTTTTCTTCTTTCCTCCCTTCCATCTCCCCTCCTCAAGATGACAAACAATCTGATATAGGTTATACATGCGCAATCATGTAAACGTATTTCCACATTCGTCATATTGTGAAAGAAGAAACAGAACAAAAAGGAAAAGCCACAAAATACAAAAATGCAAAAAAAGTGTAAACAGTATGCTTCAATCTGTACTCAGACTCCATAATTATTTCTCTGAATATGGAAGGCATTTTCCATCATGAGTCTTTTGGAATTGTCTCGGATCATTGTATTGCTGAGAAGAGATAAGTCTATCAAAGTTAGTCATTGGACAATGTTGCTGTTACTGTGTACAATGTTCTCCTGGTTCTGCTCACTTCACTCAGCATCGGTTCATTTAAGTTTTTCAGGGCAGGGACTGTATCATTTTTACCTTTGTGTCCTAGCATAGTGCCTGGACCATAATGGGCTCTTTAATAAATAGTTTTTCATTTATTTATCATCACCGTTATCATTATCATCGTCATCGTTATCATTATCATCACCACCATCACCACCACCACCACCATCATCATCACTGACATTTTTACAGCACTAAGTTTTACAAGGCATTTCAGGAACATAAATTCATGCTATATCTGTCTGCTTGTCTAATAAATTGTCTTTGCTAAAGGAAGAAAGCCTGTTGCACTATTGCTATGGTTTGGTTTGAATTTTATCATTAAGATGATGCAACCCACTTGAATATGATCTCAAAGCAGTCAAGATGTGGGGTGAAATTTCTCTTTTATAAAAAACACATTTCCACATTAGTTATGTTGTGAAAGAAGAATCAGAGCAAAAGGGAAAAACCACAAGAAAGAAAAAAATAAAAAACAACAATAAAAAAAGAGAAAGTAGTATGCTTCGATCTGCATTCAGACTCCATAGTTCTTTTTCGGAATGTGGACAGCATTTTCCATCATGAGCCTTTTCAAATTGTCTTACGTCATCGCATCGCTGAGAAGAGCTAAGCCCAACAAAGTCGGTCACTGCACGGGATTGCTCTTAGTGTGTACCATGTTTTCCTGGTTCTGCTCACTTCCCTCAGCATCAGTTCATGTAAGTCTTTTCATGTTTTTTTCTGGGTCTGCCTGCTCGTCATTTCTTACAGCACAATAGTATTCCATTACATTTATATAATTCAACTTGTTCAGCCATTCCTCAATTGATAGTCATCCCTTCAATTTCTAACTCTTTGCTACCACAAATAGAGCTGCTATAAATATTTTTGTATATGTAGTTCCTTTTACCATTTTTATGATCTCTTTGGGATATAGCCCTAGAAGTGCTATTGCTGGGTCAAAGGGTATGCACATTTTTATTGCCCTTTGGGCATAGTTCCATATTGCTCTCTAAAATGGTTGTATCATTCCACCAACAATGCATTAGTGGTCCAATTTTCCCACATCTTCTCCAACATTTATCATTTTCTTGTTTTGTCATCTTGGCCGATCTGATAGGTGTGATGTGGTACCTCACAATTGTTTTGATTTGCATTTCTCTAATCAATAGTTATTTAGAGCATTTTTTCATATGACTATAGATAACTCTGATTTCTTCATCTGAAAACTTCCTGTTCATATCCTTTGACCATTTATCAATTGGGAAATGATTTGTATTCTTATAAATTTGACTTAGTTCTCTATATATTTGAGAGATGAGGCCTTTATCAGAAACACCTGTTGTAAAAATTGTTTCCCATCTTTCTGCTTTCCTGGGTTGTGTTGGTTTTGTTTGTGCGAAAACTTTTCAATTTAATGTAATCAAAATTATCCATTTTGCATTTTATAATGTTCTCAGTCTCTTGTTTGGTCATAAATTCTTCCTTTCTCCATATATCTGACAGGTAATCCATTCCTTGCTCTCCTAATTTGCTTATTGTCTCACCCTTTATGCCGACAAATGAAGTTTTAAAAAAAATTCTATGAACCTGTTACTTTATAGGCAGACCCTTTCTGCATATGGCCAAAGCTCACTTCAAGAGGCAATGCACAATAAAGGTGTTTGCCATTAAACAAACCTGAAAAGCATACTTCAACTTTTTCATACAGATTCTAGGAGAAATCCATGCTCCTGAAATGCAACAAGTAGAATTTTCGATGATCTTTAGGGGGGGAAAGTAGGTGAACTACTTTTAACTGTAAATGCATTTTTAATCAAATTCACTTGACTGCTTTCACATTTAAATTAATTGCCTTTATGAGGCAGAACACAACAACCCACCCACCCTCCCTAAACCCCCAAATATCACTTTACATTTAGAAATTTACAATATAAATAAATACTATATCACACACACTTACACATATTTAGTTCTAGGAAATAGATAAAAGTTTTAAGTGTTTCTTCCTTAGTGTTTTTTTCCCCTGGTGACAAACATTATTTCTTAGCAATCAATCTTTTGTGGCAGCCAAATGAAAGAGACTGTCATCAAGTAAGAATTCAGTCTTATGAAGCTATATATTCACATACACAAAAGGGAGAGACCAAGTGCAGATCATTTCAAATTGTCTGCTTTACCTGTGGACTTAGTCTATGAGAACTTTTAAGCTCCTATTATGTACTAGGCAAGTTGCTAGGCATGAAAGATATAAAGACAAAGAAAACAAAACAGTGCCTACCTTGGAAAATAAATGTTCAGCAATTTTTATTGCCTCATTTTGACTGGGTTTTCTAACTTGAGAAGGTCCCTCAGCTTGAACACTAAAGCATTAGACAGATGCATGTCAAATATACTTGCCATGTTTAGTTCACAAACAGGTACTCTTCACTGGGCACAATAGATGTTTTTTTTCTGAAAAGATAAATCACATTTTAAGTGAACCATCTACCAGTGTAAAGGTACACTAAAGAGGAAATAGTTGATAAAAATGAACAATCAACTTTTTTGTTTATTTGTTTTGCTTTGGAAAACTGAACAGTCGTCTATTTGACTTGCTTAAGGCAGGCTATGCCTGCAAACTAGAGCTTAGGGCTATGTCCTCCATTCGTTCATATTTCTGAAACATCTCCCTGGGTCAATTACAGTAGAAGATAGGAATGTAATGCTGTTATCTCTTCAAAATACCCACAGCTCAGTCCCTCATTCCCAGGTCCTTTCTGCCAAAACCAGTTTCTCAAGGGTTTCAGGTGTTCTCTGCAACATGGAGACCCAAATTGGGGATGGGAAGGGGGAAGGGGTGAGAGGAGCTAAAATCTCTCATGGACCATTACAGGGTGAATGAGAGCCCAATTTAAAGCTACCTTTCTTGGGGCAACTCTACACATAACCCTCATGGCAGACATGATTGCCATTGATGAGGCTGAAGGTGGCCATGGACTGGTTGGTGCTCTTGAGTGAGGTCATGCACGTGGTGCTCCTGCCGGTACTCTGGGACCTCCTGAGCAGTCCCTGCCGGCAGCAGGAGAACTGGGAGTTGAATTGTTTCCTGAAACTCTTGCTTAGCAAGTAGAGAGCGAAGGGGTTCACGCAGGAGTTGGCGAAGGCCAGGAGCCGGGCGCAGATACTGGTGACAAAGTGCAGCATGGAGATGTCCACCTCTGAGTAGTGGTAGGAGCGGTACAGGTAGATGATGTGGTTGGGCAGCCAGCAGACAGCGAAGAGAGCTACGAACACCAGCACCGTCTTGGCCAGCCGCTTTCGGGATTCGATCTGAAGAGACCCAAGGAGAGATAGACAAGCAGAAGCCCAGGGATTAAAATGCAATTAACTAAGACAGAAAAGGCATGACAATGCATCAGCCACAAGGAGAGCTTAAAACAAAGCTGATTACATGGCTTAAAGGATTATGTGTAGCAATTACAACGAGTGTCCTTGAGGGTTTATTGGTTCTGCTCATTTGTGGTTCCTTACTCTACACCTAATATTCATTTCCTGTAAAGCTACCAGACCCCTATGTTGGCTAGTCACATGGCCGGACCCAGGATTCTACCTATGTCTCTTATTTTGTTTCCCTGACAAGTTCCACATTCTGACCATACAGCAGGATTTGCAGTAGAAGTAGGATAAACCCACCCTTTCCCCCGCCTTGCTCCTTGGACACAAGTCCATCTGTATTGCTGATGGGTCTATGCCAGCAACAGCCTCCAGTGGGGAGGTAAGAGAGTGAGTATTGTGGTAGAGTGCATCCATGCCTTCCTTACATTATAGGATCCCAGATTCATAGGTAAAAGGGACCTTGGAGGTCATCTGATCTGACTCCCCACTACCTTTATTTTGCAGATGAGAAAACCGAGACCTGCAGAGGTTAAGTAATTTGTCCAATGGTAAACAGGTATTAATTTACTGAGCAGGTTCTGAACCCAGGTTCACTTACTCAAAAAAAAAAATTAGCCTACTTACCACTACACCATGTTGCCACCTCTGAGACAGGTGCCTCACAGTATAATATTAATAGTACAGGAAGAGGGAGGCTAGGTGGCACAGCGAATAGAGTGGAGTCTAGAGGACTCATCTTCATGAATGCAAATCTGGCCTCAGACACTTACTAGCTGTGTGAACCTGGGAAAATCACTTTAACCCTTTTGCCTCAGTTTCCTCATCTGTAAAATGAGTTGGAGAGAGAAATGGCTAACTACTCTAGTATCTTTGCCAAGAAAACCCCAAATGAGGTCACGAAGAGTCAGAAATGACTGAAAATACCTGAACACAAGTATAGGAGGGATGACTTGATAGGAATTAGTGATTGATAGCATTCACTACATAAGTGGCAAGGGTATGTTCAGAATAAGGGGACTATGCCCTGATGCTGGCCTTCATCACTGACTTGATCCCAAGGGCAGGGATGACCTTACTTTAAAAAAACCCTATATACTTTTTTATCTATATGGGGAAATTTAGAAAGACTACTCTTTCTCAAACTATTTTTGCAAGTCTTTGGCTACTGAGGCCCAGAATTCCACCACACCCCATTCAGTTCTTTGAATTAAAGCCTTGTTGGCAACCAGTTGTTCTTTAAAACAGAGAATCAACTAATTAATCCCTATTAATCATTAATTTAGCATAAGTTACTTTATCAGGTCCATTTCCTCCTTGACCAACAGTTCTAATCAAATCATAGATAGATGATAAGAGGGAAGGAGAGGTAATTTTGGACTGTGGGACATAGGGGAGTGTAAGTCTAGTTGACCCACTCCATCGGGGAGCTGTGTGAGAGCACTGACCCTGGAGGTGGTGGGGTAGGGTGGCACGGAAGCACAGTAGTTTCAATATAAGTTGTGTGGGAAATGACCTATTTTGCTCTTTTTGCTCCATTGAAAAATAGACTCACAAGAGGGAATTGTGGCACAGTGGACACAGCCAGGGAGACGCTGGTTCAAGTCTCACCTCTGACACATCCTGGCTATAGGAACCCAGGAAAGTGATGTAAACATCCAGTGCTCTAGGCACCTCTGTAAGACTGTATATAAGTCACAGAGAAGGTGCCAGCTTGCCTTTGTAGAGGGAGTTTTCACATTTGAGAGTTTCCTAGATCAATGAAATCACAGGTCCAGTCTCCATTGATGAAACACATTGTTTTGCTTTAGATATGATAAATCTTCTGAATAGTAAGACTATTGGCACCTAAACTGTATCTTTGGGTTGGATGAGGCTCTCTGGCACCTTGTGGTTATGCCATTTCCCATACAATTTATATGGAATCTACCATACCCACATTTCACAAACACAGTTTTCAGAAATGTAAAAATCTTTGGACATAATATTAGATTCAATGACTTGGAGTTTTACATAAAAAGCCATGCATCAAAATGACAATTTCAGTAAAAAAAAAATAATCAGATTAGTGTAGTGGCTGTAAAGAAATAGGCCCACTATTAAATTGTTGATAGAATGACACAAGCTGGCAACACTCAATAAGTTACAATGATGATCATGCCCTAAGGGCAGCTAGCTAGTACAGTGGGTAGAGCTCTGGCCTTGGAGTCAGGAGGACCTGAGTTCAAATCCAGTCTCAGACACTTGACACTGACTAGCTGTGTGACCCTGAACAAGTCTCTTAACCCCAATTGCCTCACCAAAAAGCAAAAAAATAAAAATAAAATAATGATTATGTCCTTTGAGCCAATGATCCCATTACTAGGACCATATTAAAAGAATGCTATTAAAAGGAACAAAAAACCCTACCTATATAGAAATATTTATAAGAGCTTTATTAATAAAATAGCAAAAGAGTATAAACACCTGATATGTTTAGGAATTGGGAAATAGCTGGATAAACTGCAGTCTATCAATATAATGAAATATTATTGTACCATAAAAAAGACATAAAAAGGAAAGAGAGAAATATGGAAAAAACTTATATGAAATGATTCAGAGTGAAGAATGCAGAATCAGAATTATAGCCCACTCTGACTATAAAAGAATCAACAACAAAATATGGTTGTATAGAAGAAAAAGAGTGGGAAAAGCAGAAACAGTATCATTTTGGTAAACTGCATATAATACTTTTCCCTTTAGCAAACTAAATAATTTGAAACTTTTATTTTACATGTGTTTTCTCTTTTTTGTTTATTTTACTTTTTAAATGGTTGCTTATAATAAAAAATTATTTTGAAACAATTTACATAAAGAACACACTTCTCAATGAGCATGGGCAGTTTTCCTCGACCCTGTGGACAGCTTTCTGTTTTATGAAATGACTTAGATGCATCTAAGGCCTGGTCTATATGTTATCCCCAAATACTCATATGAACCTACATGTCCCATATTTGAGACAGCTAGCTGCTGGGTTCCCTGATCTGAGTTTATAAGTATCCTCAAATCACATTCAAGGCCTGTGCCTAGACAGAGCCTTTCTACCTAAGCCAGGCCACTGGTGTGTTGCTTGCATGGATATTCTCACAATTCTATAGACTGAAACTTTTTTTTTGGGGGGGGGGGGGAGGTTGGGAGATAAAGGGAAGTCTAATTTTTTAACAACTTCAACCAAAGTCTCTCCCACTTCAGTCCCTCTCTTTACTCTGCAACAAAGCATAAGCTTCAAGCAGTTTGTCCTTAACAGGTGGTAGTATTAGAATTGATTGAATAAAATAAAGATGACAGTAAACATTTAAGAAAGAGATATCACTCATTAGATTTACTCTCAACACTCCCTCTCCTAATCAAGTGACTTTCTCTAGACCGGCAAGATCAGTTTCCATAATTTGCTTAGACTGAATTTTAACTGAGAGGGCTCTGCATGCTGAATGGGCAAAACAGGGTATTTTTGATTTTGTCCTTTATTTTCAGGGTTGCTCCAGAAGAATTGGATTGGCACATGGATAAATGGAAATGGAGGAGGTGTCTTGATTCCCCTCTCCCCCACTACTTTGGCTATTGATAGTTAATTAGGCATATAAATATACTAATATAAAATACATTAATGGCAGCATGGAAAGTGGATAGAGAGTCAGATTTGGAATTTAGAAAAAACTAGGTTCAAGTCCTATTTCTGACATATGCTGGCTGTGTAATCAAGGGAAAGTTATTTAGCCTCTCAGTGCCCTAGGTGACCCTCTATGGTAAGTTACAGAAGAGGTGCTGACCTGCATTGGTAGAACAAATTTCCTCACAAGGAGGTCTCTATACCCAAGTGTGGTATGGGACCCTGAGACCCTTTTAGGGGGTCTTTGAGGTCAAAGCATTTTCATAGTAATACCAAGATGTTTTAATTTCTAATACATTAAGCATGGATGGATAAATCCCACGTAAAAAGTTCATTAGGGTCCTTGATAATTGTAAAGAGTGTGAAAGGGTCCGGACACCAAAAAGTTTGAGAACTGCTGCCTTATACAGATGAAATCACAGATTTGGACCAGAACAAACAAATAAAACCTCTCAAAAATATACTACAAATCAAATATTATTATTACTATTAATGTTATTATCAAACATTATCATCATTAGTATGTGGTAAATGTTATCCTCAAAGATCTGAAGGGGTGTCTGCCTCATATGACCTCAATATATGATTTCATGAAAACAGTTTCAAGTAATATGATTGTCTTGCTTCTATTGTAAGAGGAAAAACTGTTTTTCTAATGGTAGAACAACGGAAGGAAATGAATATTTCTCCCTGAGGGGCGATTTCAGAGGACAATTTCATTGGAGTCTCCCCTCTGACCCTACCACTTCCATAACCTTGACAACAAATTGAATGTTGTAGGGTGAGGCCTGCAACTGAGCCAACTCTCCACTGAAATGGTGTCCATTTTCTTTTCTGCCCTAAAGGCTGGAACATATACATCTAAGCTGTAAAGTAAGGGAGTAAGGAGAACAGCACTCATCAGCAGGATCTCAGTTTTTACCAGTTTCTTAACAGGAATGAAATCATGGACTTCTCTTTCTTTAGCGGCTCTTGGTGTGTGTTGCAGGGGGAGGTGGGGGAGGGGCACAAATGAAAGTGGAAAGATGATGTAAATAATTTCCTAAATGTTTTACTAGGTTCTTATCTGTTAAAGAACAATTATGCAGGACAAGGTGAATTATTTTTCCAAGCCAGCCTCCCTCCCAAGACAGGAGTTCAGGCTCTTTCAATGGATCCAGTCAGGGTTGAGACTCTTGGTTTATGATACATAGCAAAGTCAAGGGGGGAGGAGGGAGATGTTAGGAGGCAGTTCGTTCATCTTATTTCTTACCTCACCAGACTGTCTTTACTTCACAGGATCATTGATTTAGGGTTAGAGGGGATGTAAAAGTTATCTACTTCAACCCTCTCATTCTACAAATGGGGAAACTAAGGTTAAGCTATTCACTCAAGGTCACATAGGTAGCAAATAGCAAAGCCAGGATTTGAACCTCAAGTGCTTTGACAAGCACTCACCCCAAAAGGATTAAATGAGATAATGGATCTGAATGTATGTATATATTGGGCTATTTCTTCTTTGCAACTAAGTATTAGAGCTAACTGTTCTAAAGGTGAAAGGACCCTGAGCTGGAACTCAAGAAGATCTGGGATTGAGTCTCAGCCCTGATACTTATCAGAGAATTAACAACTTAGAAATTGCTATTCACCCTTTTTTTTTCAAAGAGGACCAATGGCATCATGGGGTGACCGCTTGACTTGCACATGAACTGGATTTAAGGTAGAGGTGCACAGGGTTGTCAGTCTCATTCTTTGTTTCAAACTCATCAAAGTGTGACAAGTCTGGCGAGACAAATGTTAAGACAACTGGTGATAGCTCAGAATGCACTTGGATGACCTTGGCGTCTTCCATGTCTGACCAAGCTCTAAGCATTCCACAGTGCCTGCTTCAGCTGCCTTCGTGGCTGCAGGAACAAATTGTTCTCATCTGCCCATTCTGACGGGGGAACTCTTCACATGCTTGAGGTAGACATCCCCCCTGACTCACTGAAGGGTTTGAGGCCCGCTGAGGCCTTACCCTCAACCTCGTTTAGCCTATCTGCCAATATGATTTTATCAGATTTTACCGCTGCTGCACATGCTACAGCTTCTTGGAGCCACAGTGAGATTGGGTGACAAGTGGACACCAAAGGTGGATGAGCAGCTTTGAAAAGGGCTCAGTAAGCCCTCACACCAGAGATGCTAGGCCTCTCTGAACACCCACACACTCCAACTTAAAAATAGGATGAAACAGAGACTCAAGAGTCCAGCTCTCTCATTTTACAGATAAGTAAATCCAGGATTTGAACTCAGGTCCGCTGACTTTCACTGCACCACAAACTATGTGGCCTTGGGAAATCCATTTAACTAATTTTTTTTTTATCTGTGGAATGGACATCATTATGAGGATAAAAAGAGGTGACATAGGTAAAGTGTTTTGTGACTGTAAAGTGCTATATATGGATATCAGCTACTATTATTTCTTTACCTCCCTCTACTACAATCTCTCCTTCCAAAAATAAATATGTATCACAATAATTTGATTATCTGTCCCCACCAATACCTCACATAGTGGCAAGCAAGCCACTAAGAATAAGCCTAACTACATTTTCAGGATGTTAGGAGAAGGGGAGCAACCAATGTATTTGTCAACTACCTCCTAAATCGCAGATTGAAATTAAACAATTCTTTTAAGTATATAAAAAAAGAATCACAAACAAATCTTTCATATCTCATCAACTTCTTCGATGAATATAATAGTTACTTAATTATCATATCTTTAAAAGAGGCTGAACTAATTTTAAGTGTTGTGGGTACCTAGGTTATCTATACATAAGACAATGTTTCCTAAAACTTTTAGGTCGGCTTGGACCATCTAATCTAGCCTTTACCTACTGCACCATTCATCCAAAAATCACATCTGCCTGGTATGGAACTGCCTGGTGTGTATCCACCTATACATTATTCATTAGTTGCCAAAGAGATCCAATTCATAGCCCAAAGACACTCCCAGTGAGAAATAAATGCATCTTAAAAAACCTACCTGCCTTCTGACATGTATATTCCCTTCCACTGGCAAATTGTAAGCACTCCGGATCAAATTCTTGGCAATGAAATAGTAATATACAGAAATGATGAACAAGGGAATAATGTAGAAGATCAGGAAGGAAGCCATTGAATGGATTTTGGGGTGTAGGTCATTGGAATGGGGGTATGGTGCACAGGTGACAAAGGTTTGATTGGTGCTTTGCTCATAAAAAGGGTGCAGATCAGAAAACACCACTTCAGGAATGGCGAGCAACATGGAGATGACCCAGATAAAAGCCGCCTTTAAGCAGATCTTCAACAGGGCATGGGAAGCTTGGATATCCATTGGTCGAACAATAGCTTTATACCTAGGGCCAAGAAAGTGACACATTAATGTTCTGAGAATCATCTTTTTATTTTTACTTTTATTCTATGCACCTTCATCACAAAGCATCTATCAATGACATCCCATTTGCATACTTTGTGGGAGATAAAGTTATTTTAAGAAAAACAACGACAAGACTGCTTCTTTTCAAGGTTTTGTGGCAGACAGAGTGCTGGACTTGGAGTCCAGAAAGACTTCAAAGCTTGCCTTTGCATAGGTGTGACCATGGGTTAGTCACAGAACCTCCTTGAGCCTCAGTTACTTCATCTATGAAGTGAGGATAATAATATTTGCCTCTTCATCCCATCAGGGTTGTTATGATAATAAAATAAAATGAGATGTAAGATGTTTTGTAAAGCTTAAAAACTTTAAAATGTTGATTATGTTAAACCACTACTAAAACAAGTATAGATATGATATTTATAAAGTATATAGGGAGAGAGAATAATTGTTTAACCTAAGGCAAATTCTAGGTATTTGGATATCATTTTAGTATTTAAAGACTGCCTTTTAGTTTGAGAGAGAATACTGAATCAGGTAAGTCATACATGACCATAGGATCATAAATTCAGAGGTAGAAAGGACTTTGGAGGTCATCCTATCCAGCTCTTTCACTTTACAGGTAAGAAATTGGGGTCTAGATAGGAGAAATAAGTCACTTAAAATAACACAGATCTTAAATGGCAGATTTGAACTGAGGTCCTCTGACTCCAAATCCATCACTTTTTCCATGGTACATTAGAATCTTACCATTAGCACATCTGCTCCATGATGGAAGGTGGAGCACCATGGTTACAACTTGGAGCTTGATGCTATATCGGGGTAGAAGCATGGCACACTTGATCTATCAGTTCTGGGTATGGCTTCGATGATGATAAGGGACAAGAGAGTTTACTGCTGTCTTATCTGTCACAGTACTTTATAGCACAGTATCTCCCTTTCCTTTTCCTCCTCCCCCTATGGCATTTCAGATCCAGTATATTTTAATTTACTTTCTCTTGACAATTTTCATTAGTTCAATATAAGTTTTTCCTCTTGTATGCTTTCTTTCCATCACAATTTTTTTTCTTGCTTGCTTAGTATAAAGGGAAGAAAATGCCATGTTTAATATTCAAATAATGAATATTGGCTGCCTGAGATGTGTCTGAACCTTTTCTGGTTTCCATTCACACTCTGATGGGAAATAGATGATGGAAAGAAATTACTATGAATTCAATAATGAATTTCAAAATTAATTTTAGATAAGATGGAAAGAAAGTACTATGAATCATTGAATTTATAGTAGTAATTTTTCATTCAGTAGATATTCTTCATTTACTATCAACAGAGTCAGACCCATCACTGATAGATCAAATCTTTACTCTGAGGTGCTAACATCTAGGTGGTATGCTTCTACCACTGGCTTAGGATCAACTTGCCTAACCAGCACCTTTCATTGGTTCAATCGAAGTTTGACAACCATCCACTTCCCCTGGCAAGGGTCTGATGGTCTAATGAGAATGGTCTCTCTTATCTCAGGGCTGACTCCATTGTGATTTCTGGTCTAGGGGCAAGATCATAAGGGAGAACTGATGGCAAAGATAGCACCTGGGCTGCTGTCTCCCTCCTTTCCCACCTCCTTAACCGAAGAAAAATCCTTGACAAGGATTGTCTACAGTTCAGCAGTCGGTCACCAAGGACAGCGCCCAGAACAGAATCAGAGCTCAGTTTTGGATAAAATAAATAATCAATCCACTAGCATTGTCCCACCCACCCCCTCTTCACCTGTTGTAATGAACTGAGGGGACTCCACCTCAGAATTGGGATCTGCACAGGCACTGACATAACATTGTTAGGTTAAACTTGGAGTAAATTTAGCTTCTCTGTACTTGGAAGTCTCCATGTATTAGCTAGTTAGTTCCTACTCCCAGTTCATCTTATCCTATAATTTAAAATTGCTTCTTGCCTATGTAAAACCCACTCCCTTGCTACATCTCCCCATGTTCTCTTCTGTGTCCAACCTAGCCAAAATTCCTAGTTTTTCTATTCTCCTCTGACCTCTGTTTATAAAGTGCCCAATCTGTTGTTATAAACTCTCTTTCATCTTCTCATATTTTATCCTCATAGTCCCTCCACATCTTTCATACTCATTGAACCTTAGCTTTCTCCTGAGTATGCCACATCTCTCGGCACTGTCTACAATTGGTCCTTTTCACATATTCCATGGCACAAAGGGCCAGGAGGAAGAGTTGCATTCTCCCCACATTTGTTTCACCACTCAGCCCTTTCCTTCTTTTCATTAAAATTCTTTCTACTCTAGACAAGATACTTGCTGTAACCATCTGTGGCTATACCAAGGTGGCTCCATCTAAGTGGACCACTGACCATCATTCCCAATTAGGTCAGTTACCTCCTATCGGCCTTCTTCTCCACTCTAAACCCTGTTCCCTTAAAACATTCTAGCTTCCAAGTTCCTCAAATTTTTCAATACCCATTACTTGTCTCTAGTCTATGTCATGTTTACCTCATGCCTTAACCTCCTCTTTAGATCTATTCCCATCTCCAATTTTCATTAATTATCATTGACCCAGAAGGCAGAATTCCTAGTTTCTGATTATCCTGTGGGTTGCGCAAAAAATTTATATTAAAAAGGAACCATATTATTTGAAAAAAAAATTGGAAATCACTGACTAAGTGACATCTAGAAAAGTCCAATAGTAATTTTTCTTCTTTTCTTATATATCTATAAATCATCTTCCACTTCTTTATGAAGGATTGTGGGAATAACAGTCAAGGATCATTCCATGAGTGGACCAATAATTATTTATTCACGATACTTTGAACAAAGCAATTGTATTTCAGTTGCAATGTATTCCTCACCTCTCTCCCTTTAATGCCGTCTTCCTCCTCACAGTTTAAATGAATCCTATATTTTGTATGTTGCCAAGCTGAAGTTCTACTCTTCATTGAAGCCTTTCCTTGACACTTTAGACTCTTCTTCTGCAGAACTCTCCAACATTTATTATCTGTATCAGAATTTTCTAGTCCAAACTATGCTACGGACTAATAAAACATGTATTTTCCTACTTTGGATCATTCTGCCCTCAATAGCATTAGCAGACGGGCTTTTAGCACTTTGGGGAAGGAACTAGGAGCTGTGGATAAGTGAGGAGATGTGAATGGGAGAGCAAAATACAGGATGAGGAGTCAAATTTTTATATGTATTTTTTTTTTAAGAAATGATGGTGATAATGGATGGTGATTTTATTGGTATAAGGCATTCCCAATTGGGAAAACTTCCTCTATTAGTGCAGGTTGACAACTTCTCTTCAACCTGTAGTCTTAAAGAGTTCCCTAGATCACTAAGAAGTTAAATGACTTTTCCAGGATCACACAGTCAGTAAGAATCAGAGGCATGACTTGAGCCCAACTCTGAGGTGGCCTCTCTGTCTACTACAACATGCTTCTTCTCACAGTCCAGAAATAAGAACCTTTGGTAATAAAAGATAAACAGAGGAGATCTGTCAGTTATACTAAAATTTTTACAGGTAGGAAATCAAGTCCAACTTTACAGACTTGTTCAATTGGGATTACACTATGGTCTGCAGTACATAGGGAAATGATATGAGACACAGCATGGTACTGTGGGAAGAGTAATATATATGGGGTCAGAAGTTTTGGGTTCTAATTACAGCTTTGCCACTTTGGATAAGTTACTCTATTGATAATTGTGTTGACTCAGTGACCCATTGTTCCCAGCCTCGCTTGTCAATCAGTGTTAGGAAGGTGTCACCCAGTTGCCTGTTATGCATCATGCCAAGCCACCCCCCTATCTGAGACCTTTGTACCCCTCCTTGCAAATTGTCACATTCTTGCTACCTTGAGGAGGAGCTGAGATGCAAAGGCTCAATCTCTTTTGCCTATCTGAATTATCTTAAAGTTACTATAAAAGCTGGCACCACATTAAAGCCATTGCTGATCTTCAGTGAACCGCGCCTTAATGTGTTGCTACTTTGACATATTTATAATAAACTGCTTTTAATTCTCTTTGTTCTGAGTTTTGCCTCATTGATCAGGGTGAAAGCCCAAATGAAGAATTTTCCTTTCAACAACTCTCCTTCTCTGGGCTTAGTTCCTCATCCATAAAATGAGGCAGTTGTATTGGACAAAGTCTGAGGTCCCCTCCAGCTCAAAAATCTATGATCCTATTATATACCTATACCTACCATGAAATGGAGGTTAAGTAGAGCATGCTTTTTTTCTTAAAAACATTCCTGCTTTGCTTTTTCTTATATAAAACTTGAAGAAGTAGAGGGATCAGCTTTCTTCCAAGCTGAGTTCTAGGACCTTTAGGTATAAAATGACTGACTGACTAAATGAATGAAAAGGCACTTATTAAGTATTTACTATATGCAAAGCATCATTGTTAAAGGTCCTAGCACTTCTTTGCTTATTTATCTGCAATTCTTTGCTAAAGCCAGTAGGCTTCTTAGTTGTTTGTTTTTATCTCTGCTCCACATAGAATGTGAAGTTCTAGAGAATGTAACTGTCTCTGTCTCTGTCTCTCTCTCTCTGAATACATACATACATACATGCATGCATATGTGCTTGTGTATGTGTGTGTGTGTTCCCTTAAGGAGAAAATAAACTTGCTCCTCTGAATACTGAACTATGCCTGCAGCTATTTATGCAAACAACAAGACAAATTTTTTTTTTGACTTTTTGCCCCCAGGAAAAATTTTGTGAAGAAAGGACTTATATAAATGAAGAAAAGCTTTTTGAAGAATGGACTTGTATAAATGCAAAGTAGTGATTATCTTGGCATATAACCAAAATATGCTCTACTGCCTACTTCAACAAAATCTCATTAGCAGGACAATATGTTATAGTGTATAGAGTTCAAAACTTGACCCCAGACCAATGAATACTCTATTTACAGATCTGGCAAATCACTAGAAATTAAATCATAAAGCATTTCATTGAACTATGCTAACAAAACCTAAT